AGCTGGTAGCTGCGGGTTCAAATCAATAAGAAAAACATAGATTCAGAAACTGCTGCAAATTTATTATACCTTTCTGTTCACTGGCGTGAAGCAGAAACGAGGCTTGAAAAAGAAGCTCAAAGCAATGACAGCTAAATGTTCTTGAGGCTTTTGCACTCCAAGTTCTCAAAGAGCTTTAGGAATTGTTCTGGAACTCCATGTCTGTCAACTGTTTTTATAACTCTGCTTGGAAATACTATGTGTTCAGTATTATTTAGCTTTAGTAGTGGTGCTTAATCAGCTGCCTGAAAGACTGCAGGATCAGCCTGCATTGTCTTTTTTCTTTTTGCTATAATATTGCCCTTTTTTCCTTAGCTAATAAATACTGAGTCCTTCTTTTCGCTTACTTTATCAACACTGAAGTGTGCTATAAACCAGTATTGCTATGATTGAACAGGAGTTAATGTGTCCTCTTACAGTTGTCTAAAATCTTGAAAAAAACACCCAACTATTGTCAAGTTACTTGCCTTAGATTGCATAGCAATCCCTTCTTTAACCTATATTCAAATTTCTGATGCAATACAACTAGCATCAAAATTCTGATTATATAATTTTTCAAAAATTATTTTATTGCTGGTTATATTTTCTGCAAACTGCAAAGATTTTCTTAAATTTCAAAATAAAAGATCTAGTGAAAATATTACCAAGCATAACATTGCATTCTTTAAAAAAAATGTATAAATGAGCCGTACATTTTAGACACATTTGTTTATTGGCTTCCAAACTAATGTTACCAGAAAGCTAAATTACAGCTGAGATATTACATCACATTTCATAACAAAAATTAGAGTTTTAAGTATTTTATTCTCTTAATTTTGTAAAATTCAGTGTTATCTGGTAAAACGGATTTTTGACTAACATTTGAAAACATACATAGTATAAAATGCACTTTCAATGGGAGCTATACATAGAAGTCCAACGACATTTGGCTTTGTATGAGGTTATAATAATTTATTTCAAAATATTATCCTTCCTAGAAGGAAAAAATTAAAACAGTCAGAGAACTGAAACTTCAGACGGGTTAGGTAAATTAAGTTTTCTTCTCTCTAGGATGACAGTACTGGTAAGCACAACTTTTATATTTATGCAAAATCTCATTTTTATCAAACTATTTTTAAAAATTACAGGATTATCCATGAGGGAAGATACTTACAGATCCTGCCACTTGAGAGGCACTCTGAAATTCATCAATTTCTTCCATGAGTGTTTTAACCTCGTGTGCTTGAACTGTTCCAAAGAGGTAGAAGAGAAGTAAATCACTCTAATTAAGGAAGCATTAGTCACTTTGAAAATAAAATGCCTATAAATTAACTACTGGGAAGGCAAATGTGGCTACTGTAGATGCAATGCTTTTCAGTTACACTTCAATGGATTTTAATTTATGTCCGATTTTAATGTATGTCTGATTTTAATTTATAAGCTTAATACAACATGGAACAGTGTCTCTAACACAATTAGAACGATAAGCAAGTTTGCTTCAGCTGCCAAAGTGTCTCATAAGTTATTTCTTATTTTTACTATTAAAACTAAATACTATTTGTCCTTTACATAAGTCAGTAGTGGATCTTCAGCTTTAATAAACCCAATAAAATTAAATTTAATTAATTCTGTTAAAGTAATTAGAATATAGTTAAAATCCTTGAAGTAAGAAGTTCTGGTCACTTCAGGCAATGTTTAAAAACCATGCAAGGTATTATTTTTGCCCATACTGCCACATTTGTAAAACAGCACGTCTTGGTGAGAAGTCTAGAGTGCCTCTGACACATACATAATGACTTAAAACAGAATTTATGTACCTATATCAGAGAAAGCAATTTCCGAGTAACATGCTCTGCAGTTTCACTCTTTGACTGATGGTCTGCTAGGCACTTAGATACTGTTCATAAGCAGCCTAAGAAAACAAGATGCTCTAATCTTCCCTAGGTTCTGCTGTTATTCAGACACTTAGCAGGGAGGTTCTTATGCTTCCAGAGTGCCCTGATTTGTTAAACATCTCAGACTATACTTACTATAAAGACAGAACTATACTGAAGTACTGCAATTATGGTTACCACATTCATTGCAAACACAAATGAAAGCAGAGGAAGAAGAGGTGATGATCCTGCCAAGTTGGGGTCAGAGAACTGTGCAGGAACTGGGAGATGATGCCGCATTTTTGCCATTGCCATATCTAGTTCTCAACCCTAATTCCCACATATTTGCATCCTCATTAATTTTTTACCCTGGTCATGCAGTTCCATCTGGAATAACACTGTATGTGTTTCATACATTCTTATTTCTATTGAACATCTCCAATTTCAAACCTTTCCTCTGCATCCAAATGCCTGTTTTGAACTTGCTACTATATTGGTATTTTTAAATGAAAAAAAAAAAAAAGAGATGCAGAAGCTACACATCTTAGACTTTTCAACTTTCTTCAAGAAACTTTCTAGTTTCTACTGGATAGAAATAGGAGCTGGCTAACTGCAAACAATAAAAAACAGTGACTTCTGTTTGATAGGGAATAAACTACTGATGTGAAATTTGGTTAGTAAAATTTATTTAGCAAAATAAATATTATATATCACAGCATAATCTGTAGATCTAATGACACAATAAAATGGGGAATACCACATCTACACATTATGGCATATGGTCTACCATTTTCAGTCCAATTATATTATTCCAGGTGGAGCCACAAAAAAAAACTCAAGTCTTTGCCGACACCTCAGAAATACATGGGGTTGCATACTACACTGCAAAGTAACTCACTTTACAGTTTTTCTCAGACAAATTGGGGAGTGGTTTAGAAGTTTAGAAGTACTATGCTTTTCATTTATCCAATATTAAGAGTTTAATCCCAAATAAGTTATTGTATTTTAAGCTTCCTTCTACAAGAACGTACTGACTGCAAAGATCTGATTTGCAATAATGTCTTCTTTTCCTGCTTTATATCATGGCTTTCACTCAAAGAGTAAGGGACTTTTTAGCAAAAGAGACTGAAACAAGTGAAGCAAGGTCCTATGGTACTTACAGGCAACTGGGACTAAATGAACAATTATCCTTTAGTGATAATAATTCTTAATATTCAAATTAAAAAAAAAAGAAATCAAACACCAACAAACAACACAGTAGTGGATGACCTCTACAATCCTCCCAAACTGAAAAACGGGCTGGGGTTGACAGATGCAGATTATTACTGGATCAATCCTATTGCAGTGTCTATCTTTTGAAGCCTCAGCCATTCTCCCCATCTATCTGTACAGAACAAGAGCAAGGCTTAATGGAGGACTGATCCAATAGACAAACCTGACAGGCTTGGCATCTATAGGGGAAGTCTGCTGTGTGGTCACTGAAGCTGCTTCTTCTAATCAAAATCAGGAACCTAGCTATTAAATTCTTCCCTTAGTTCTTTCCTGTGAAGTGGTCTAATGGGAAAGATAAAGTAGTTTAGAGAGGTATAGTTTAGGACAGTAAAAAAACCTGCAGCGTTAAAGCCTTTTGTGTTCTCTGATCTCGAGACCTGATTCCCATCTCTCAGTTTTACTACTTAGATCAAATACAACTCTGTCCAATTCATCAGGATTATACTAGAGGGAAATCAGTTTAGCGATTAATTAGAACCAGATCCAGATTGCCAGTGGAGTCAGTATAGTGCTTGATACTGCAGATGATCTTTTTACATAAGCTATTAGATTGACTTTATTAGGTGGAATTGCTTTAGTAAGGATGATTTCTAAGGGCTGCTAGATCAGATGTGCTGCCAATTACTCCTGAACCTAGTTCATCTGAAATTCACAGGAGAGATGCTCCAGATCTAACTTAACAATTTCCCACTAACCCAGAAACAGATCATTATCTAAAGAAATCTACCCTCAACTTTGCTGTGCATCAGCACCTTGCTTGCATATCCTTGAACAAATGGTTCACATCAGCACTTCTCAATGCATAGTTTTCTTTCAGTAAGGTCATTGGTACTGATAAGCAAAAGCAGAAAATAAATTCAAATAAACCCTCTAAGTGGGTGACTAACCCTGTTAGTCACTTGTTCATGATATAATACATTCTTAAGAGGATATAACTAAAAATTCAGTGCAACATGATGCCTTGGTTACTTAGGGTTTTCTAACAATATCTTAAGGAGTCGCAGATAAATATCAGATGCACAGAAAACAAGTAATGTGCTGCATTTATAGGAAAGACTGATAGAATGGGCAGTTGCCCGAGTTCTCTGCCTGTTTCTAGTCTGTGCCTACTTGTAAAATTCAGCTGTGTTTTTTTTTTTCCAAATCAAAATGTACTACTAGCCAACGTTTTAGGAAAAAAAAATATTTTGGAAGGCTGAACTTTTCTGAGAGCACCTCTTGACAGAAATTTGGCAGTACCTCACTGTTGACCTCAGTCCTTTAGCCCTAGGGGCTTTGTTATTTTCTGGCTATATGACTAACATGTTCATGTATATTTACGGACAAGGGATAGATGTGTTTATAACAACATGAATGTCACTGTCCCACCTACCTATCTAACTTTTACTCCCTACATTTTTATTGAAGGTCTTTTTTTAGGGAAAGCGTTAGCCATCTTGTCTGTATCCATACTGACTAGAGAGTATCCACAAGTATATAAAGTCGTCCAAGTTACAATGGCTGTAGTGCTCTTGCGCTCCATACTCTGTGATCACGAAAGATACAGCTTCATTGTTACACTGCATTCAGCACCTTCTGACACTTTCACCCTCTCTAATGTTGGTGCCTCTACCACTTAGCAACAACTTACTATTTTATTGAAGCCTGCAGTTTCAGGAGATGTCATGGCAAAAAGGGCATACTTCCACTTCAAGAACAAAGGTACAAAGGAATGAAAAAGGAAGGCAGAGATCTGTTCAAAACAAATTGTTTCAGGAACTGTAGAACTTTTTCCTACATGTCTAACTTATCCCTCTACTCTTTTCTGCTGTAATAAGCTTATGGCTGCTCATGGCTTGGATGGGCGTATGCTTCACTGGTTAAAAAATTGCCTGGATGGCTGGGCCCAAAGAGTTGTGATGAACGGAGTTAAATCCAGTTGGTGGCCGGTCACGAGTGGTGTTCCCCTGGGCTCAGTATTGTTCTGAGTTCTGTTTAGTATCTTTATCAGTGATCTGGAAGAGGGGATTGAGTGCACCCTCAGTAAGTTTGCAGACAAAAACAAGTAGGGTGAGAGTGTTGATCTGCTTGAGGGTAGGAAGGCTCTACAGAGAGATCTGGACAGGCTGGATCAATGGACCGAGGCCAATTGTATGAAGTTCAACAAGGCTAAGTGCCAGGTCCGGCACTTGGGACCCCATGCAATGCTACGGGCTTGGGGAAGAGCAGCTGGAAAGCTGCCTGGCAGAAAAGGGCCTGGGGGTGTTGGTCAACACTCAGTTGAATATGAGCTGGCAGTGTGCCCAGGTGACCAAAAAGGCCAATAGCATCCTGGCTTGTGTCAGAAATAGTGTGGCCAGCAGGACTAGGGAAGCAATCATCCTCCAGTGTTTGGTGCTGGTCAGGCCACACCTCAAACATTGTGCCCAGTTTTGGGCCCCTCACTACAAGAAACACATTGCGGTGCTGGAGCATGTTCAAAGAAGGGCAACGAAGCTGGTGAAGGGTCTAGAGCAGGAGCCTCATGAGGAGTGGCTGAGGGAACTGGCATTGTTTAGTCTGGAGGAAAGGAGGTTGAGTGGAGACCTTATTGCTCTCTACACTTGAAAGGAGGTTGTAGCAAGGTGGGTGTTGTTCTCTTCTCCCAAGTAACAAGCTATAGGACGAGAGGAAATGGCCTCAAGTTGTGCCAGAGGAGGTTTAGATTGGATATTAGGAAAAACTTGTTCACCAAAAAGGTTCTCAAGCATTGGAACCGGCTGCCCAAGCAAAAGGTTGAGTCACCATCCACGGAGGTATTTAAAAGACATGTAGATGTGGTGTTTAGGGACGTTGTTGAGTGGTGCACCTGGTAGTGTTAGGTTAACAGTTGGACCCAATGATCTTCAAGGTCTCTTCCAACCTAAACTATTCTATGATTCTATGCTTGCATATCCCCTTACCTACCTCAAACAAGCCACCACCACCTCCCTTTTGGGAAATTACTCTTGTAACAAAAGAATTTTGCCTTCCTTTCACTGGGCTTGAGTGCAGTCACTAGTCTGAGTGTCTCTTGCTGACAATCTTCATCAAGCTTGTAAGAACATCATATTTTAAGATTCTGAGCTCCCTATTAATTTTTTTAATAAAGTGATCAATGGCAGATTAAAAAAAAAAAGGCATGACTGCATGAAGCCATGCATTCTCACAAAATCAGTTTGAAAAATTTATCTTTAAAGACATTGTCATGGTTTTGGGCCGATCTGGCAACTAAACTCCACACAGCCACTCTCTTACTCCTTCCCCAGTAAAGTGGAGATGAGAAAAATATAATAAAAGGACTGAGGGTCGAGACAAGCACAGAGAAGGAGCACCCTCCAACCATGGTCCCGGGCAAAACAGACTCGGTTTTCTCAAAGCAAAGCAATTTATTAACGTTACTTAAAAGGACAAAGGGAAACAAAACCAGTTACTTGAGAGGATAAAAAGAAACAAAGCCAGATCTTAAAAACAACACCTTGCCCCCCACCCCCCCCATTCCTTTTCTTCCCGGCTCTACCTCCTCCCCCAGTGGCGCATGGGGACAGGGAATGGGGGAGTGCAGGTCAGTGATTAGTACTAGCTACTAATGGTGACAAACATTATTCTTCAAATGAGGCATAAGAAATGAGCAAGAGCTCAAGTTGCCATCATACCTAATAGCACACCTAATAGCACACCTAATAGCACTAAAGAGTAGACAGTCCAATAATTAAATAAAACAGTAGTTCCAATTTGTTTTGCACTGGTTAATCAACATAGCTAACTTGTCTGCAGCTGCTGAAGACTAAACTGCAAATCAAATCCTTCAATTAATAGTCTTGGCTGGTTCTGCCTAACAATATGGGAACAGACTGAAAGATATATTTTTGCAGATTCTCTGTCCAAACCTCCATTCCCTTCTGTCTCCATTCCAGTGCCAGCTAACATAAAGTTGACCTTCAGTGTTGCAGGGCATTCTCTGGCAAGATATCCCTTAGGAAGTGCATTTTTCATTAGATTTCAGGTGTTATTCAGTTTAAAAACCTGAGCAGAAGTTGAAATGAGGCTGAGTGTCCTGATGGCAGATTAGCACAACATATTATTATGTCTGAGTAAAAAAATGTTGTTGAGAGCTATTATATATACAGAGGGACCTTGATAGACTTGAGAACTGGGCCAGTGCAAACAGCATGAGCTTCAACAAGTCAAAATGCAAGGTCCTTCACCTGGGTCGGGCCAATCCTAGGCACAAATACAAACTGGGCACAGAGTGGGTTGAGAGTAGCCCTGAAGAGAAGGATTTGGGGGTGTTTATAAATGAGAAGCTCAACATGAGCTGGCAGTGCGCTCATGCGGCCCAGAAGGCCAACCGCATCCTGGGATGTATCAAGAGAAGCGTGGTCAGTAGGTCAAGAGAGGTGATTCTCTCCCTCTACTCTGCTCTTGTGAGACCCCACCTTGAATACTGCATCCAGTTCTGGTGTCCCCACTATAAGAGAGACATAGATTTGTTGGAGCGTGTTCAGAGGAGGGCCACAAAGATGATCCAGGGGCTGGAGCACCTCTGCTACGAGGACAGGTTGCCGTAGCTGGGATTGTTCAGCCTTGAAAAGAGAAATCTTCGGGGGGACCTAATAGCTGCCTTCCAATACCTGAAGGGAACTTACAGGAAGGATGGGGAGAGACTTTTTACAAGTGTGTCCACTGATAGGACAAGGGGAAATGGGTTTAAGTTGAAGGAGAACAGATTTAGATTAGATCGTAGGAAGAAATTCTTCAGTACGAGGGTGGTAAGACTTTGGAATAAATTACCCAGAGAAGTTGTGGATGGCCCCTCTCTGGAGGTGTTCAAGGCCAGGTTGGACAGACAGAGCCTTGAGTAGCCTGGTCTAGTTGAGAGGCGTCCCTGCCCATGACAGGGAGGTTGGATTAGATGATCTCTGAGGTCCCTTCCAGCCTATGCCATTCTATGATTCTATGATTCTATATAAACTCTTTTTTATTGTATTTTAATTCTAGTCAGTGGTACTTGGAGAGATCGGAGAAACATTTCCGATACTCAGTTTAAAAACAGGGGAGAAATTCTCTAACTCTTTTTATTTTTACTGTATAATATTTGAATCCTGAATGCATTTGCAGTATTAAATTAAATATTTAAAATACCATTCTTTGGAATAGAGGCCAACTGGCAATGAACAGCCCATGTCTATTGTATTAAGCTACTTTACATCCAAAATAGTGTGCTAACATACAAATTGCCTACTAAGAATGAATCCTAGCTCAAGGTGGCTTCCAAAATATGCCTAGGAATTATTCTGGAGTGCTAATTGGCCATGCCAAAAACCTTAGGGGTTAGGGTCTCTTCTAACAGATTTGAAGTGTAAATGATTGAGTTCAAATGCCCAGGAATACTCTCTGCAAGTGTTTAATCTTCTTTTACAGACGTAACCTCTACTCTTTAATTCAAGATGTTGGTGTTTGGTTTTTTTTTTTTTTATGAGCAGCAAATATTTATATAACTTACCATCAGAGTCTGTCACTGCTGGCTCAGATGTTTGAGATACCATGGAGACATCTTCTGGCCTTTCTGCCAAATTATCTCCTTGCAATCTAAATTGTGGAAAAATGGAACAAAAACATTTGCAATCATATGCCATAGATAAGACATAGGAGAGTGTTATCTCTGACTACATACCTCCTACTCTCAACATTGTCCTAAATAAACGGGTAGCTTTGCTGAAAAGCCAACATCCATGGTTCAATCATCTCATATCATCCCGGATTGTCTAGTAACCAAAACTAGCCTCTAAGAAACAGTCAAGTCAATCCCAGCTTATTTATTTTTGTAAGACTTATTTTAACAACAGTGGGGTTTTGGTGGTATCATGTATACACGAAACGGCAAGCTTCCTTCACTACATTCAAAAATATTTCAACTGAACAAGACTGTCCTAGGTGCCCACGTCAAAGTGTTGGCAGACGGGGGCTGCAGGAGTGGCCTTGATGAGGAAAGGCCAGGGCTGCCCTGTGCCAGACACAGGCAGTTACATCTGGCTCTGAAAGACCCACAGAGGGACACAGCTGAGCCCCTCAATCAAAATGGTGGTGCCTCAGAGAAAACATGGTTGAGGAAGAGCAAACAATGCCACACAGGCAGAAAAGCAGGGAATATAAAGAGTGGGAAACAGCAGAGGGAACACCAATGTCAGAGGAGGAGGTGCTCCACACTCCGAGGAAGGTACTCCTCTGCAGCCTGTGGCGAGGACACCAGAGTCCATACCCACTGTAGCCCGTGGAGGACCTACTCCAGAGTGGGTGGATATGTCCTGGAGGAACTGTGGCCCATGGACAACCCATGACGGAGCAGATTTTTTTTCCTGAAGGACTGCAGCCTGTGGGAAGAGCCCACGCCAGAGCAGGTGAAAAGTATGAGGAGGAAGGAGGGGTAGAAAGGAGCTGTTATGGACTGATCACAACCCCCCATCCCCTCTGCACTGCTCAGAGGGTGGGGATGGGAGTCTGGAGTGAAAGAGTGAAGTTGGGCCTGGGAGAAGGCGGAGAAAAGGTATGGGTTTAATGTTTGTCTTTTTATTTCTCGTTATCTAAATCTATTTTAATTGGCAGTAAATTGAATGAGTTTTCCCCAAGTCAAGTCTGTTTTGCCCACAACAGCAACAGCTAAGCAATTTCCCTGTCTTTATCTCAACCCACAGCTTTTCCATCCTATTTTCTCCCCTCATCCTGCTGAGGGCAGGGAGTGAGCGGGCAGCTGGGTGGGGGGCTGGTCCTTAGCCAAGCTTAACCCACATGCAAGAATATTTCCTCCTCCTTTGTTACTCTTTAAAAGAAAAACACAGTTAATTATGGCAGGCTTTGTCTTCAGACGTTCCCCCTGCATCAGCTGACTGCAATGCCTTGACAGTAATTTTCAAAAATAGTCCTTGTATCTGTTCTCTTAAATGAACATCCCAAGAGTCCTACTATTCTTCTTCAGGCTCTTATGAATCCTGAGTATAAATTCAGCTCTGAAGAAATGGTTTGTAGCTCTTAACACAATATAAATACCATTTACATAAAAGTCATCTCACCTTGAATTTATCAGACATGAAAACAATAAGAAAAATGCAATTCAATTTTGCAAAGCCCAGGAATCATAAAAATGCAATGAAGTAAAACCTTCGGGAAAGAAATAACTTACCTCTTTAAAAAAGTTCCTTTCACTCTGTATTCTCATTCTCTGTAGCTGCTTTACACTAAACTTGGAATTAACCTTTGAAACCAAGCAGAACCCCCATACCTACCTTCTCTGAATTTCACATTTTTTTTACTCTCACAGTTATCTAATATATTTGGATCCTAAGTCATCTATTTGTTTGTACCTACTCAAAACTGTTCCACCTTCCAGTTACTTTACCTCCTTTTATTGTCCCTGGGATGGTTTATTTATAATGGAAAGCTCAATGTAAATTCGTAATGACTTACCTGAGGAGGCAGTTCAACAGAGCACAAAACTCCTCAAGACAATAAAAGTGCAAAACTTAGAAGCTGTAAACCTAATATTGAAAATTACTTCTATGAATTCTTTGTAGTTCTATATCTGGTTTGTAATGCTCTAGTTATCAATTCTTTAAAAGCCATTTGTCAAACTGGCTCTTCTAAAGATGACAGTCAAATGGAAGCAAATAACTTTGTACTATTACCGTAAAGATATGCAAATAGGGAGAAAACAAATTGCAAATGAAATAATGCAAAGAAGGAAGATTTCAAGAATCACATAATTTTCCCTTGCATTAGAATTGACCTGTCCTCTTTCATGACATACATACACGTGTTTACTGCAAGCACATATTCACGCTTACAAGAATATGCATGGGATCGCAGGAACCAGAAGCGACGTACTCTTCTCTGCAACCATGTTGATAGTTTATTTGTATTTAATTAATAGAAAAATTACTCCAACCTGCTCTGCTTATACTGCAGTCTTAAAAAAATTATCTCTAGAAGTAGGAACTGCTTCTTTTATCCCATCAGAATTTTCGAGATTTTATGGTATCTTCTCATTTTGAGTTTTCATAAATCCAAACCAGACATGAACAACTGGAATTCTTCTCATTTTATTCTAGAAATTACGTATATTTAAGTGGCCCATTGCCTCATGAAAAACATGCAAAAAAAAAATCTTTTCAATGTTATCGAGTCAGAAAAGCTATTTCATATGATTTCCCCTTGTAAGAAGAAACGGCTGGGTGAACTGGGTGGGTGGATGCGTGGGCGGATGGGTGAATAAGATGTTTGACATATCTGGACCTAATTTTCACATCCAATTTTCAACTTATTTATGTATTTCTTACATGTAGATTTCTTTCAGAATTGATTCTCACTTGACTCAAGCAACAAAAAAAGTCACAAACACTATTGCTTACCAAAAAATTTCTGTTGCTTCTGGACTCTTCTAATTTCTTCTTCAATACTAATACTGTTCATAAGACACCTCCACAGTAAAATGAAAACCCTTAAAAATTCTTAAGCAATAGATTAGAAAGCAGTATATGTATAGAAGAGCTTTTGAATGCTTCAGAAGCTCATTATACAATCAAAGATGCATTTTCCAATCTGTCCTTGTTTATGCTACTTTCTTCCCTGGTTCATTCTTGCTGAACATCTTCCAAGAAAAGTGTGTTGCACCATACTTCAAGCATCATAGCCTAAGCTATGAGATCCACTTATCTGGTCCCCCGGTCCCCCGGTAATGTAAAAGCAACTATTGTTCTTGCAGACCAGTTGTACACAAAGTATAAACTCCAAAGTAGACTTGATTCTTCATTGACAGATACAAAATAGGAATTCCTTTAGTAAAAAAGGTAAAATGATGTCCAAAATATTGTGTTCAAACTTTTCATCCTCTGCTTTGGAAAAGACAATTACAAAAAGAGCAATGAATATGACAGTCACATACTTGTTCGTAAAGCAATCTAGAAAGACTCAAGGTTTTCCAAACTGGTGGCTTAGAAAACCTTGACTGTTATTTTCAACGTTTACTCTTCAAAAAAAACACCGAAAGACAAGTTACCTAAAAATTACTATGTTACTAACACTTTATGAACTATTTCAGTTATTAACCAAAACATTGTTTCAGCTATTAATTATTTTAATGGGACTCTAAACCTGATACCTGATAATCAACATTTTTTTCTATATACATTCTCTTTGTAGTGTGATCTTTACTTAGAGGTCATTGTTTCAGATATGTTCAATCAGCTGCATGTTGGAGCTTCAGGAGCTACAAAGGCAAACAGCCTCCAGGTAAACATTTCAATTTCCTTTGACCCAAATATGCATTCTGTAGGACTTGTACAAAGAAGATTGCGAAGGACTTCAAGACCAAAGACATTCTGAATAAGTTCCACAGGAAGGTTGCAGCAATATCATACCAGGTCTGTCACTACAAACAAGCTTGTGGGTGTGTGAAACACAGTCGTGCTGCCAGTATGATTTAGAAAATATGATACTATAAGAGTATGCAAAAAGAGGACAAAATTATTTCATCTGTACTCCTTGAATGAGTCACAGCATAGTGAAATCCTATATTGCCTCATCAGAGGAAGGAAATAGCAAATAAGAAAAATAGAGTCAAGACTGAAATTATAGATTTATTTTTTAATCCACTGTTTTGAAAAGGTCTTTTCACACTCCTGAACAATCTATAAGCACACACACACAGAGTATTGTCTAAGAAATGGCAGTAACTAAAGTCAGCAAAAAGAAAACATCTTGATTCCTGTAGGATTCAGATTAGGAAAACATTTCCTCTTTACTCGATATCTGAAAAAGTAACGTTTTCCGCAAATGTTTAAGATTCATCACTTTATCAAAGATTTTATATTATTTCCGTATAAGTTGCCTTTATATACTATGTTAATTTTTCTATTAGTGATGGTGCCATATTTGGAAGTAGGAGCAACCTACCTAAAAATACCCAACCTTATTTTGGTTTTTTTTGGTCTAAAAGTTTAGCCATCTTAAATTTTCACTAGAAAAATTAAAAATTACTTCAGCATGTAAAAAAGGTGAAGCAAAACAAATGTTACACTTTTGATTCAGTTACACGTTTATCTAAATAGATTACTCTCTGGTTTAAAATCATGCCCATGTTAAGTGCATTGCTGAACTCGAGCATTTAGGATGTTTTTCTTTCTTAAAATATAGATTGTTGGTGAGAACAGGGCATGTCATCAAGTCGAGGATATTCCAATTTGGTATTTCACTAGAAGTCACCTATTTTACCAGATGAAAAAATACTAAGATGAAACTATTATTTGAAGTCCAGTTGCTAAACTGAAAGGAAAATGAGGTTAGATCTGTGATTCATGTTTCTTAACCTCTCACCGATAAGACTGTCTGAAATAACTTACATAAAATCCCATTCTGACTACCATGACAACCTCTTTTTGAACATTTTTAACTAACATTTCTCTTGCAATTCTGAGTTTCCAACACCTCAGAACACATCATTCTGTGACATAACAGATACCAACAGTCTTAATGAAACCCATGTAAATCCCTCTGATTACAGAGGTGGAAAACAACTCACTGACTCAATGATTCCATCC